CTTGCAGCGCTGCGGCCCTGCCTGCAGACCCCCCGGCAGCGCTGCGGCCCTGCCTGGCAGCCCCGTGCCTCTGCCTGGAGGCGGAGGGGAACCGGGCTGACGCCCCGGGCCAGTGCTGGGGGAAGTGCCCAGAAGATAGGCCCAGAGCGGGCTATTTCCACGGTGCCGGCGCTAGGCAGAGCCTGGGGACAGAGGCTCAGCCTGGCCCCTTGCACAGCGCGTCCCACACTGGGCTGCACAGGGGTGGTGGGAACAGCCCTGCCTTTAGCAAGGCAGCACACGGTGCCATGCACCCGTGATGTGGATCCAGCGTGAAGGCTGGCACCTGGCACCACCTCCCTGCGGCTCTAGGGCAGAGCCCTCAGCAGGGGCTGGGCTCAACCCCCCCCAGCCCTGGCAGCCCCCAGGTCGTGGGACTTGCTGCTCCCAGGGACAAGCGTCCTGCTCGTACCATGCCCACAGCTTGCTCACTGCTAACATACCAGGGCCTTCTGCACCCCCGGATGCAGCTGCGAGAGGCTCAGTGCGTCAGGGCTGCAAACTCCTGCCATCCACAGCCTCTGATGACCAGCACCCACCCCGTGGGCTGGGGAGAGCCTGGGCCAAGCCCCGCAGCCCCACACAGTGCCTGAGGCCAGGCTGGGCCCAGCCCCCAAAGCCCCGGTGCCATCCATGCACAGCCCCATTGCACAGCCCCAGCCCCGCAGCCGAGTGCTGCTCTGCAGTGCTGTCAGACGGCTGCAGCTGCAGCCCCTTCCCATCCCTCAGGCACTGAGGGCCAGGCAGCTGGGCGGCCTCTGGGGCTCCATCCCCATCAGGGTGCACTGGGATCCTGTGCAGGTTTTGGCTCCCCTGTGCTTTGGGTTGCACCCATCTGTCTGGAACTGCACGCACACCTGGGGCCAGAGTAGGGCCAGCCCCTGCCCGGCTGGTATGAGCCAGCGTCAGGGCAGGTGTGCGAGGGCAGCATGGAGCAGGCTCTATGCGGGCTGGAAGGAGGAAGGACGGTGCATCCCCTTCAGCAAGTGCCATGACGGCAGCTGGTTGGCAGAGCCCAGCCTGGTGCTGGCAGCGCGCAGGGATGGCTCCATCCAGCTGCTCGGGGCTGCAGCAGCGCAGCTGAGGGTGCCGGGGCTCAGGCCCCTGGGCAAGATTAACCAGCGTCGTCCCACTAGCTCTGCTCTGGAGAGCCTGGTCAGGATGTGCCGGGCAGGGCACTGCGTGAGCCGGATCATGTCTGCTCGCTGCCCGTGTAGGATGAGCCTGGATGCATGTCGCCATGAGGCAGCAATGCAGGCAGACGGCAGCGTCATGGGACTCCTCGCAGGCAGGACAGGCAGGCTCATCCTGGACAAGGCACAGGTAGATGTGGCCCCATCACAGCCCCAGCTTCAGCCCTCACCCAGACCCTTCCTGCATCCTCCCCTTTGATGCACAGCCCTGCATCAAGCATGCTGTGAGCCCTGGAAGGATCCTGCACCCAGCGCCTGTGTCCCATGGGTGCAGCTCACCCTGTCCCACTGCCCAGCAGCAGTGGAGGCACCATCACATCCCATGAAACAGCCACAGTGGGACCTGGTGACCCGCTAAGCCACCATCCACCCTCTGCCAGACCCCCCCTCCCCTCACCGAGACAGTCAGGGTGCCCACCCCCAGCAACCTGAGCTGCTCAGCCACTGCGGTGCCCCAGCCCCATGCACGATGCCAGCACCATGGCTGCCCACACGGCTTCTCAGGGAACAGGCAGAGAGCAGAGCCGTCGCTCTGCCCCTGCCCCAAGGCCCTGCTCACCTGCCTGCCGGCTGGGAGAGCAACTCTGGGTCTCCACCCCACCAAGGGGATAGGAGGGCTGCCAGCAGCTCCACGAGCACGGGAACGATTGGCCTGAAACCACTTCTGCACAGCCCCCGGCATGGGATAGAGGGCCACGAGCTCGAGCATCACGAGAATCAACAGGGAAAAACGCCATTTATTGGGTGTGCCAACTGTCCGCAGCAGAGCTGCAGAGAAACCTGTTTTTAGAGGCAGTGCACCCGAACTGCAGCAGTGGGTGCTGCAGAGCTGCAGGCACGGGGCAGGCAGCCCGGGGCAAGCAGCCCGGGGAGGGGCAGGCAGCACCGACCCCAGTTCCGAGCGGGGCAGTGCCCCACACACAGCACCGCTGGGCTGGGGCCCGCACCAGCACCCACTGCTCTGGCTCCTCGCCCTCCCTGGGATCTGCCACTGGGGAAGGACAGACCAACGCTGCAGCAGGACCACCCCGTGTGTGGGGCCACAGGCTGGGGAGATGCAGGAGCCCGGACAGAAAAGTGCATCGAGGGGCAGAGCTGCCCCATGGCACAGCAGGCTGCTGGACCCGGAGCAGCCCCAGGCACTGGCTTGTCTCAGGGTGGACCCATCGCCATCTTCTCCTCTGCATGTCCCTGTGAGCAGTGAGGGCCATAGCTGCAGGCGATAAGGTCCCCCGAGGAGAGAGCGGGATGGGTGCTGCCAGCACCCTGCATATCCCGTCCCCACCCACAGCCACAGGTGCCTGTCCCAAGGGCTCCGGAGGTGGGGCAGAGTCGGGCAGCAGGTGGGCAGGAGCGGCAGGGAGAGGACATGGCTTCCCCCTCACATCCGATTTGCCTTCCAGGAGAGGTAGCAGTTCCAGACGATGGCAACGCACTGGACGACGGCCAGCCTGGGGACAGAGGGGACAGGGTCCACAGCCACAGGCTCCACAAGCTGGGGAGCCGGGGCCACGGCCGCATTACTACCTGTGCTTCAGGGGCACGAAGTAGAAGTTTGCGATTTGCACTGGTGGCCAGATCTGTGCAGAGAAGGAGACAGCAGTGAAGGGGCCCTGCCAGCACCCCCACCCCGTGCCCACCTCTGCCCAAGCATTCAGGGCATCCAACTGAGCCCACAGCAGCCCCCAAGGCAGGGGACAGGGACAGGGGCACCGAGGAGCCTGGCCCGGACGCCCCAGCCGGGCGCATGGCCAGCACGGCACCGGTGCAGGGAGGGGCGCGGACCCGCCTGTGGCTGGCGCCCGCACCTACACAGTAGTTGGGCCGCCGGGGCTCCGCGG